GCTTTGGAGCCAGGGGGGGTTCGGAGCGGGGGGAGGAGGTGGGGGGGTTGGGGAGACGGAGGAACCGGCAGGATGGGGGGAGTGGAGAGCTTACCTGCTCCTGCTGGTTCCTCCTACGCCTGCTGAGTTTGCAGCTCCCCCCCACGAGTTTCGCGGGTCTTCTTTCTTGTTTCTACTATTTCCCAGAGGTTTTTTTTGTGTGTGGATACTTATTTCTGCCAACAGAAGGCTCACTCTCCCCCAACAGCTCTTTCTACAGTCTCAAGGGCCTTGCTGGGGCTGCAGAAAAATCTGAAAAGTGGGGGGGAAATCCTCAGGGAAGGTTGAATTCCCCCCAAAACGTTTTGGAATGGCCTCTGCAGGGATCTGACTACAGGCATCAACAGTGAGAGATTAGAACGTTGGAGGGGGGGAGGCTTCTAACTGGCTCTGTCAGTAAAAGGGTGGGGGAAGGGCCCTTTTCAGGCCTCTTTTGGCCTTGGAGGGAGGGAGGGAGCCTTGTGGTGAGGCCTGACAAGGGTTGCCAGTGCCAGGCTGGGGAATTCATAGAGTTTGTGTGATAGACTCTCAGGAGGGCAGGATTTGGGGAAGGGAAAGGCCTCGGCTGGGTATAATGCCACAGAGTCCACCCTCCAAAGCAGCCATTTTCTTCAGGTAGACAGATCTCTGCTGTCTAGAGTTCACTCTCCAGGCACCACTTGGAGGTTGCCAACCCTAGGCCTGGCAGCAGTCTAGGGTTGACAGGGCCCCCCCCCGGGTACTGGCAGGGGATGTGGGGCGGAAGGTTGCCAAATCCAGGCTGGGAAACTCCTGGAGATTTGGGGGTGGACCCTGGGGAGGACAGGGACCTCAGTGGGGTACAATGCCCTAGAGTCCACCCTCCAAAGCATCCATTTTCTCCAGGGGAAGTTATCTCAGTAGTCTGGAGCTGAGCAGGAATTACAGGGGATCTCCAGAACCCACCGGGAGACTGGCATCCCTAATCAGCACCCTCTGGGTGACTTGATGCCACCTGATTTGCATGACTCAACTAGGCCTGGCTGCTTGCTACTGTTCATCAGAAGCCACCCTATGAAAGCCAGTGTGGTACAGCAGTTAGAGCTTCAGAGTAGGGTCTGTAAGACACAGGTTCACATCCCCATCTTGCGGTGGAAGCTGAGTGGGTTATTTTGGACCAGTTACATACTTTCAGCCTAACCAACAGGGTTGTTGTGCAGATAAAAAGGAGGCGAGAATAATGTAAGCTGCTTTGGTCCTCACTGTGGAGAAAGACTAAATTTTCCAAGGTAGAGGCTGTGGGGGAAGGGGGTGGAAACAGAAAGCTGAAGGCAGATAAAGGTAGGTTGGCTGTTGAGTGGGAAGGAAATTGGGTTGCCAACTCCAGGTTACTGGACATTTGAGGGGCGTAGCCTGGGGAGGGGAGGAACTTCAGACTGGTATAATGCCATAGACTCTACCCTCCAAACCAGCCATTTCCTCCATGAGAACTACCATTGCCAGCCTCCAGGTGAGGGCTGGAGATCACCCAGAATTACAACTGTTGTCCAGGTGAAAGAGAAGAAGAAGAAAAAGAGGAAGAGATTGGATTTATACCCCGCCATTCCCAACCCAAAGGTGTCAGAGTGGCTTATAAACTCCTTCCCCCCCCCATCACCCTGTGAGGTAGGTGGGGCTGAGAGAGCTCTGACAGAAACTGCTCTTTTTCAAGAACAGCTCTTATCAGAGCTACGGCTTGCCCAAGGCCATCCAGCCAGGTGCAAGCGGAGGAGTGGGGAATCAAACCCGGTTCTCCCGGATTAGAGTCCACGCACTTAACCACTACACCAAACTGGCTCTCAGAGATCAGTTCCCCTGAATAAAAGGGCTGCTTTGGAAGGTTGAGTCTATGGTATTATACCCTACTGAGGCTTCTTGCCTCCCCAAGATCTCCAGAAATTACCCAACCTGGAGCCAGCAGCCCTAAGGTGAATTGATCTCTGTAGCTGGAAGATTCGTTATGATTCCAAGAGTGCTTCCAGTGCTGCTATGAGGAGAGAGGAAGCAGTTGGGTGGCTTGGAGTACCGCCACCACTGCTATTGTTGCTGTGTGAGGGGTGGGGGAGAAAGCAGGCAGAAAGCAGGCAGAAAGCAGGCAGGAGGCTGGGAGAATGATGGGGACAGAAAGAGAGAGTGATGGGAAGTGGATCAGAAAGAGAGAGAAACAGTGATGAGGTGGTGAGGCAGAAAAACAAAGAGAATGATGACGGGTCAGAAAGAAACATGCATGGAGGAGAGATAAAGAGTAAGAAAGGGGGGCAGAAGGGAGAAAGAGAGTGAGACAGGTAGGGGGAGAGGGGAGGAAGCAAAGGTGTGAGGAATGGAATGACTATCCCGGATGTTTCTTGCAGGTCTCCACTTGTGTTCTTATGTTCTTAACTGTGCTCCCTATGTGTGTATACTTATTTCCGCAGATAGGGGGCACATGGAGGGTAAAGAGATTTTTATGCACCCCTGGGACACTCCCCAGGTGTGCAGAAAAATCTTACAGCTTTAAAAAAGTACACAGAGGGTTTTAAATTTCCCCCCCAAAAAAGCGTTGACTGGGCATGATCCAGGCGCAGCTGTAGGGGTGGGGAATGTTGGTGCCACTCCAGGCCTGGCTGCAGAAGCAGGAAATACTGGGAGTTTCTCTGGGCCTGGCTGTGGCAGTGGGCTGCCCAGGTTGTCAAGCCCTGAGCACCTGAGAAGAAGCCAGGGAAGGGTAGCACTGGCAAGATCAGCACCGGGCCTGCCACCACGGGCAGAATCTCAGGTGGTATGGGACCCATCCTGTGAAAGCTGGAGTGTGGGGAAGAGGTGCCCAGGAATCTGGCCAAGCCTGCGGGATCCTCCAAAGTTGGTGGGCAGCATGGCAAGCCAGCACAGTGGGCCTGAGTAAGACTGGTAGAAAGGAGGACTGGTGACCTTGCCCTCCCTTCCCTGTCATTTCTGAGACTTCCACTGGCTCCTGACACCCTCACCTGGGGAATAGAGGAACTTTCCTGGTTCACACTAGAAAGCGATGGCAACCACCAGAGGGACCTCAGGGGTGGAGGCGGGGCTTGACGGGTATTGGTTTGGTGGGGGGGAAGAGAAAGAAAGGGAGATTGGCTTGGTGGGGACAGGGAAAGAAAAAGAAGTGGGTATTGAGTTGGGGAGAGAAAGAAAGGAGAAGATGGGGGAGGGGGAAAGAAGCAAAGGTGGAAGAATGCCCCTTCCCCGCAAGTTTCTTGCGGTTCCCCACTTGTCTGTATACTAATTCCCAAAGAACCCTTTGCATGTGGATACTTATTTCCAACAACAGAAGGTTCACTCTCCCCCAACAGGTTTTTCTACGGACTTAGGAGACTCAGTGGATCTGCAGAAAAATCCAAAAAGTTTTTAAAAAACAAACAAAAAACCTCAGGGAGGATTGAATACCGCACCCTATACCTTTTGAAGTGGTTGCTGCAAGACCCAGGTTCAGATCTCCATCTTGGAGTGGAAGCCGACTGGGTGATTTTGGACCAGTCACATACTTTCAGCCTAACCAATCTCACAGGGTGGTTGTGCAGATAAAAAGGAGGAAAGAATAATGTAAGCTACTTTGGTCCCCATTGTGGAGAAAGACTGTAATTTTCCTGGGTAGAGGCTGTGAGGGAGGGGGGTGGAGACGGAAAGTTGAAGACAGAGAGGCAAATAAAGGTAGGTTGGCTGTTGAGTGAGAAGGAAATAGGGTTGCCAACTCCAGGTTAGGAAATTCCTGGAGATTTGAGGGGTGGAGCCTAGGGAGGGTGGAATTTGAGGAGGGTAGGAACTTCAGACCAGTATAACGCCATAGACTCCACCATCCAAACCAGCCATTTTCTCCACAAGAATTATCACTGCCACCCTCCAGCAGGCTTCCCAAGACACAGACGTCCTCGCAGGATTATTCCTGCGGGGACAACAGACGTGCCACACCATGCCGTCGCCAGGAAGTGACGCCGGGCAACGCTCTGGCAATGGGGCTGGAAACTCAATGGTACCATCGAGTTTTCAGTCCCATTGCCAGAGCGTCGCCCAGCGTCACTTCCTGGCGACGGCAACGTGTGTTACAGGGAGGAATGGTCCAGCCGGGGAGCATGTTTTCCCCGCCGGATTACGGTAAGTACTTGGGAACCCTACCCTCCAGGTGAGGGCTGAAGATCAGCCAGAATTACAACTGTTGTCCAGGTGACAGAGATCAATTCCCCTAGATAAAATGGCTGCTTTGGAGGGGGGGGGGGGGGAGGAAGCAGGTGGGTGGTTGGGAGGACTACAACCACCACTGCTGCTGCTGTGTGGGGTTGGGGAGGAAGCAGACAGGAGGCTGGGTGAGTGATGGGGGCAGAAAGAGAGTGATAGAGTGGGGGGGAAAAGAGAGAAAGAGTGATGAGGTGGGGAGGCTAAAAAACAAAACGACTGATGAGGGGGCAGAAAGAGAGATGAAGTAACATGCATGAAGGAAAGAGAAAGTAAGAAAGGGGGGCAGAAGGGAGAAAGAGTGTGAAAGAGGTGGGGGGAGAGGGGAGAAAGCAAAGGTGTGAGGAATGGGCTAACCATCCCACAGGTTTCTTGCAGGTCTCCACTTGTATTATTAATAATAATATATGTAGTTCCATCAATATATCTGATGTCACAATTTACTGAAGCTTAACCTTCTCTAGATTGCATTTGAGAAATACAGGTGGACTAACAGCACAGATGTGTGAAGTTTGCAAAAAGCTGGTAAAGCAGAAGAACTTATTTGTCAGTTATTCATAGTGAGGTTCACTGGATTTCTCTCTTGCCCCTACAGAAATGTATCTTCTGCCGACAAAGAGTTAAGAAAATATCTGGTGCCTGCATCCAGTGTTCTTATGGACGGTGCCCAGCGTCTTTCCATGTTACATGTGCTCATGCTGCAGGGGTGCTGATGGAACCAGGTGACTGGCCTTATGTTGTCTACATCACATGTTTCAGACACAAAATCAATCAAAATGTGGTAAGGTTCTACATAATTTAATTATAATATTAATTTTGATTATTTTTATTGACATTATTTCAATTTGAAACAAGAATTCTGATACCAGAATGAAGATAAGTCATGGGGGTCTGTTTTTCATGAATAATTTTGGTGCAGAATTAGTCCTTGGCCAGACTATGAGAAAATGCCTAGATGACCTGGTCTGGGCTGAATTGAAATTAATGGTAACGTTGTGTTGAGTGAATAGGTTCTGGAAAGAAAAACTGATTTGAAAAGGAAGCCTTGCAGTCTGTATTCTTCCTCTGAATAATGTAGGGGCTGCCTCTGTTTATTTAGCGCCAGGGTAATTGCAGTCTGCCCATAATCAGAAGCACTCCCTTTACAGTTTTTAATCTTTTAGTATCCAGAGCTGATAATCTGAGCCTGAGGAGAGCCTTAGCTGAAATGTAGTTCAGGTTGCACTTTAGCGTTAAACATTTGGTCATGATCTCACCTAGGGTTGCCAACTCCAGTGTGGAAAACTCCTGGAGACGTAGGGGTGGAGCTTGTGTAGGGAGGGGTTTCAGGATGTGAAGGACCTCAGCAGAATATAATGCTATAGAGTTAACCCTCTAAAGCAGCCATTTTCTCCAGAGGAACTGATCTCTCTAGTCTAAACCATTTATAATTCCTGGAGATCTCCAGACCCCAGCTGGAGGTTGGCAATCATATTAGATATTACATATTTTTTATTTTAAAAAGCAAAATGTAATATAGAGGGGATACAAAAGAAAAAGAGGGATTATATTATATACATACACATACACATATAAATATAAAGATTATTATACATTTGCAAGATGTATAGAACAGAAAAAGTAAATATTTCTCCCCAACATCCTATTCATTATAATTTAAATACATTTTCTATAGGATACAATGATCCTTACTTCAAACATTTTGAATTTCAGATTTCATAATAAATCTATTTTGCAACTATATTATTCATTTCATAGTTCTTGTATATGTATTCTGTGTTATATATTTCATCATTTCTACATACTAGCTATAACTTTTAATATACCAAAGTTTAAAGGAAAGTTTATCATATATTTTACATGTACTATAGAAAATAATTGATATTTTTGTTCAAAATCCACTTTCTTATACATTTATATTCCAAACTTGTTCTCATTCTATTTCTGCATTGTAATACATTTATAATGCATAGCAATACATTTATATACAATTTCTGCACTATTTCTCATTTTAAATTTACCTCCTGCTTGCATAATAAAAACATCTCTCTTCAAATTTTGAAACTGATCTGTTTCTCAAATAGGTTGTTAATTTGATATTACTGCACAATCGGCAAGTTTATTTTCCCATTCTTCTAGGCTTGGACAGATAACTGATTTCCAGTTTTGCTGCACAGATGATTCTAGCTGTTGTCACCATATACTTGAATATCTCTTCCAAAACATTTGGTAATTTGTTGGGCAAAATTCCTAATAGCATATTCTTAGCTTCCATAGGGAATTTAAATGTTAATATGTTCTGCATTTTTCCATGTGTTTCCTTCCAGTATCTTTTTGCCTTTTTACAAGTTCACCACATATGGTAAAAGGTTCCATCTATATCTGGGCATTTTCAGCATTTTCATTTGTAATTTTTGTCTACCTTCTCAATATCCTTTGGAGTTATATACCATCTGAAGAACATTTTATATCAGTTTTCTCTTAACGCCTGGTGGACTGTGAACTTAATTTCTTTTTCCCATAACCGTTCCCATTAGTGCATTAGTATTTGCTTTCTGAAATTCTGCATCCATTTAATCATACATTTTTTCACTTCTTCTGTTTCTAACTGAAATAATTTGTATATCCTTTGTAATAGATGATCTTTTCGTTTTGTCATCAGCTGTTCAGAATTAGTCATATCTCTCAAAACTCCACCTTCTGTGCTGATAATCTTCTTTAATCTTGAAACTGATTGTTGATATAACAACCATTTAATATTAATTCCTTCATCTCTAATGTCTTGGCAGGATTTGAGTTTCCCCTGAGCATTTAGCATACTGCCATATGTTAGAAAATCACTTTTATTTCTCACATTCTTGTTAAAATGAGCTTGTACTGGGGACATAAGCGAAGAGTTTGGAGGACTCAACAAATTCTGGCATGTAAACCATACTCTCAAAAGTCCATCTTTAATTATATGACTGTTATTCTTATATTATGATTGCTTTGGTTGATTGGCAATCCTGTTCTTACCTCAGAGTGGGATAGAATAAAATTTATCCACAAAGTCGAGCAGCAAAAGTGTGTGATTTACCATCAATTGGCTACTCATGCAAGCAAAACGATTTGACATAGTACGGCAAATGCTGGCCAAAATAAACCCATGACATTTTAGCTTGTAAGTCCCAAACCCAGAGTGGCCATTAAAAGATCATTATCTTTTAAGAAAGATCGCAATGGAAAATACACGAGGCTCAAAATCTAAGAATAACCATGAGACTGTTGCTGGAAATTACCTCCCTGTGGTGAGTGGTTCTTTTTGTGCATGTAAAGTTTAGAAACGTTATGTGGTGCTCAGCTATCGTGTTGTGAAACTCCATGCCTTATTCCACATTCTTAGTGTTTGGTACTGGAGGGAATGTGGTGACTTCCAACATGATGATGATGAAGCTCCATGCAGCATGTGCCTCTAAATATTAATGCCTAAGAATGTCTTGCCCCACAGGATCTAGTTTCAGCAGTGTCACTGCAGAAAATTAACTTGCATCTCAAGCTGAAAAAAGGCTCCCTGTGTTAGCTGATAAGGGCCAAACTAGATGTGATGGCATCCTCATGGCCACCATGAGGACACTGCTGCCATTTTAAAATCATTTTTAAATGCTTCAAGGACCTGATCCTGATTGGGCCCACAGCGCAGCAGGCTGAGGCCCTCTTGTCCCCGTCTCATAATTTAAGTGCTGAAATGCCTGCGGCCCCCAGGGCTATTTCAGCACTTGAAAGGGGGGGGCTAGAGCGCCACAGTGCAGGCCTGATCAAGACTGGGTCCTCACAGCATGTTTAAATAGTAGTGTTGTCCTTATGGCAGCTACAAGGACACTGACACGTTTAGTTTGGCCCCTAATTAGGCACCACAGGTATAGGACATTCCAAATGCTAATAGCAGTAAATAGTTATGACAAACTGTTGCAGGTGATTGTAACTGAAGCTCCTCCTTTCAGCCCTTACTTGTCTTCCAGCAAAGAAAGAGTTGTCAGTGCTACTTCCTGCTTACCAAAGGAATGAAATTTCTTTCTCTTGTTAGAGGGTTATTGTCTTAGAGGTTTCTCTTCCTTATTTTCTGTGTCATTAATTGATTTTCTTCTTCCTAACTGTAGAGGAGAGTAGCTGATATCAGATAAACTGCCGGGTGGTGGGTGGGATTGAGCAGTAAGTTTTTGTTCTTCTAGTGAGGGAAGGAGTGATTAGTGCCTGATAAGGTAGAGCTGCCTTGCTTCAAATGTCATGAACAGGGATAATGCCAGATGTGGGTCGCCAGCTGACCATTCCTTCAGCAAATAATTTGCATCCATCCAAGTAAACAGTGAATAGAATTAGGAACCAATCCTCTGTTGTCGGTGTTACATCTCCTAACGCTGTATTATGTTTGAAGAACATAACAGGGTTATGTTTGAAAGACTGTCTCCTTCCATATGTTACTGTGGGCCAACTATGGTCTTCAGGCAGCCATCTGTTGGCTATCTCACCACTTAGGCTGTCCCACCATCTGGCATTGACCACAGCCTGGGCCTTTTCCATCATGGCTCTGGCTCTGTGGAATGGGCTCCCTGAAGAAGAAAGGGCCCCCCTCCTTGGAGATCTTCAAAAGTCTCTGTAAGGCCTGCCTCTTTTCCAGAGCTTTGGAGTGGGTTTGAATGGCAAGCACCATATAAGAGGGGGAGGGAGGATGATTTGAAGTTTGCTATTTTATTTTTGGTTTTAAGTGAAAATGTTTTTACCTATTATAGTAATAGGAGAGGTGTGATATAAATATTTTAATGAATGAATGTCTGGTGAATGAATGCCTGGTGAATAAGTTCTGGAAAGAAGTGCTAATTTCAGTTACAAAATGGAATAGCATCCAAATCTTGGCACTAGGGATGGGCGTGAACCTCATCACGAACCTAAATTTGTGACGAAAATTGCCGGGTCATGGTTTCCGAACCAAGGTTCATGCCCATCCCTATCCACGATCCTCCCATGATCCTCCATGTGTTTTTGGAGGTTTATGGGGCTTCTGGTGGGAAGCAGTGGGGAGTGAGAGGAATTGCCGAAATAGCTTTCATCTATGTCAGCCCAACAGTGGGGCTGGTGCACCCATCAGCTATTAGGCTGGAATAGATGTAAGCCATTTCAGCAATCCCTTTTGCTCCCCCCCCCCCAGGCTTGGAAGAGACCTCCCCACTGCATGCAGATCCGGGAACAGCTTCTCCTGCCTGGTGCTTTAAAGTGCCAGGCAGGTGCACCCTCCCAGCCAGGTCTGCATACAGTGGTGAGAGACCTCCCTGCCACATGCAGATCCAGTGTGCAGATTCTCCTGCCCAGTATTTTATAGTACCGGGCAGTAGAAGCTTCCCAGCCAGTTTTGCAGGCAGATTCGGGGGGGGCAGCTTTTCCTTCCCGGTGCTTTAAAGTGCCAGGCAGGAGAAGCCTCCCAGCCAGGTCTGTGTGTGGTGGCAAGAGACCTCCCCACTGCACGCAAATCCTGGGGGCAGCTTCACGTATCTCACAAAATGTACCAGTTCGGTGAATGGGAAGGTTCGTGAAGGTTCGTGCAGCCCCACAAACCATGAATTGAGATAAACCTCTAGCTTTCCGGGTCGTACCCATCCCTACTTGGGACTAATACTTTCTTTTAAAGCTCTAACAGTGAGGATATTGTTACCCACACAAATATTGCAGTGCATCTAGCCAAACTTTAATACATGATGCACTGATGGTTAACTATCATTTACAGTTTCATTGAGCCTTTTACTTTTAAAGATTTTTTTGCTGATGTGATAACATAATTAGCTGTCGTGTCATATGGGGGTAAGAATGTCAGAAATATTTCTCAGGTGAAATTGTTTTCTATACAACATCAGTTATCATATTGTGACTTACCATCTCAAAACGGAATACAGTAGAAAGCTTGTCTTTCTAATGGCTGAGAGGCTGGTCCAAGTATCAAGTGATGATGACATCCAATCAGCACACAACGTTGCTGGAACCGTCTAGAAAATTACCTCATCACTCCTGACCTCCTCCCTCCCATCCTGTGTGCTGCAGGTTCTCATGAGAAGCTAATTACTACTTTTTACCTCTGGTGTTGAATATGATAAGGGCTATGTAGGCCTAGAGAACAATTAGTAACACCTGCAGGATGGAACAAACCCATTATCATTCACATTAACCCTTGGGGGAAGGAGCCAGGCGTGTTTTACGTCACAAAGTTTTACTTCATCATAAATTTTCTAAGACCTGTCATCACCATATGACAGGATCATTTAGCCTTCTGTCCTTATAAAACAATCCTTTACCATGCTTAGATAGGATATTTCTTTTCAGAAGTCAACATTACTTGTTTGCGTTTGTCTCTTCCCCTCCCCCCCACTATCTTGGTTAAGTCATAGCTTGTGTTAAGCAAAAGAAAATCATATTTTCTACACAGCAGCTTGCACTGTAATCCGTAAAATGCCATAGATGTTCCTCTAATCTGATAGGGCTCTTTCCTTAACAACTGTCCTTTCTGATCAAAAATGACATTTTTAGCATCAATAAGTTCTTGGGCTTCTCTGTCAGGAAATGTTTGTTGGGACATACTATAAATTACAGAGCATGGTTATCAATAACAGTTTCTGTAAAGCAAATATCAAGTTTCCCTGCAAAATAGCAGGTTGATAACTATAACGAAGTCTCTTCAAACTGAGCTGTATTACCGTTTAATGATTCTTATAGCACTATCCAACGCCATACACAGTGTTTTGCACCACAGGGAGGGCAGCCTTGATTTCTCATATAAAACATGAGGCAAGCAGTTTGGGAAGAGGGTGGGGCTAGGAAATCAGACACCCATGGTCAGCCAAACCATAACAAAGATTAAATCCCAGTGTGCTCAAAGGGGCAAGGTTGGAGATTAAGTCTATGAGACCTAAAATGGCACACATCCAGCAGTACCTTGCAGCATTCACTGTCAAAGCAAACAGCTTCATCCCTTAGGAGCTGTTTTGGCTATTCTGCATCTAGCATTCCCTCCACATTTTCCCAACTGGGAGAAAAAAGTGCACCTCAAAACCACATTCAAATACCTCAGGGCAACGCTGTATTGACTGCAAAGTCACCCCTGAACGACCATAAATCTATGCAGAAGGTACCATAAAACCCAATGATCAAAGAAAGCAAAAGTGGCATGCAGTGTGGAGGGTACCATAAAATCCAATGATCAAAGCAAGTGAAAGCAGCAAGCAATGCAGAGGGGAATTTCTGTTCCAACGTGGGTTTTGTAAAAAAATGGATGTTAAAGCCAGTGTAGAATCACCCAAACTGTCTCTGGCTTTTGCTGTATGCTGCACCACTCCTGTGTGGTTTCACATACTTGCTTTTCTTCCTTTTGCTTGCCAATCTGCCTAGCTGCTCTGAATCCCTAAGAGGAGACAAACGTCAGGACGCTTTTGCTTGCCAATCTGCCTAGCTGCTCTAAGAGGAGACAAATGTCAGGACATTTGACTTCTGTCCTGGCCCATTTTCATAATTCTTCACCCAGAGCTGGAGCTGCCTTGTTTCTGTGGCTTCAAACCCTTGTTTTAAATTCTGGTTAGGAGTGGTTATATTAATTTTGATAAATGTCAGTACAGACATACTAACTGAAGGGGTATGGGTGTGGAGTTCAAAAGAAGCAAGGAGTTAAGTGGATGTAGCATTCAGTACTGTGATTGCTTACCAACTCCAGCTAGTATTAACATCAGCACTGTTCCTTTGAGTACAATTAAGAGTCCATAACCAACAACAAACAAACCACAATACTTCATGGCTAAAATGTGATCTATATTTTTAATATCAAATCCCACAAGTATGGCAGTGTTGTTGGGGTAACACGAGCAATGAAAAGTGGCTTAATCCAAACCTCACTTTAATGTTTCAAATTATTTCACTATATTCATTTTAGAGGTACTTTTGAGTTAGCCCTATAAAGACACTGAATGGTTTTCTGTCTTCAAAGGTTACAATAATTAGGTAACAAAGGGCAGGGAATAAGTAATCAGTTTGTATATGTCACACATTTTTCAGCTAAGTAGATTCTGAATTCAAAATGTTCTTCCTAAATCATGCCATTGTTTTTTAACATCTCCTGCTGTCTCTACATTTGATAACCCAGTTACAGCCATAGCCCTAGTAAATTTTTACACCGTACACATAGCACATAATGAAAAGAGTTGCAACCAATGAGAGGCAGTGCTTCAAAAATGGTCTTTGCTTTTATTAGGGGAATGAGAAATGTCATATTTTATGTTATGGGACATTCTGTGAATGTGAGAGGCAGGGCATGTTTTTATGGAGTTCCTTTTTTATTCTGACCTGAGTAAGACAAGAAGTTTTTTCCTTCCTTTTGTATAACAAGAAGAATGCCCCTACCATTGTTGGAAAACTTCCATAGTTTATCTGAGGATATGTGATGGTTATATTTCTGTTGCTGAAATTCAGTGCATGCTTACCTGGGAGTAAGCCCTATTGAATAAAGTGGACTTACTTCTGAGTAAATACACAGGATTGAACTGTAAATGCTGTCACTGATTTGTGGAAATTTAGAACAAAGAGGTGAACATAAATAATAAACACTTTCTCATCCATTTTTTGTAATAAAGGTGGGTGGTAATCTTCGGCTGAAAAGCTGATACTCATCAGTACAAAAGGTGATTACAGAAGGATGTGCAAGGAAATACTGTTAATTTCAGGCTTCTCAAGATGCATGGAAAGTGGGAACTTCTAGAACCTTGTTATGACATCTGCTTATTTGTAAAGATGAGTGGCCCAGCGGTGTTCACGGGGCCTCTCCTCATGGCAGAATGCCCTATACAGAATTTCAGAGGAAATGACCTCTTGCCAGGAGTCCCAGTTACCCCTGCTTCTGTTATAAGTAGCATTCTGATTTAGGATAACTGTGAAATCCTATTAGATTGGATTTCTTAATTGAATAAGGATCCACCACTACTTAGACTCCTCATTATATCAAATCCCGTTCCAAAGGGCTTCTGATAAACAGACCAATTAATTTCAGGTTTTGTGGGGGCTTTTACCTATTTCCCCCAGTCTGGAGCCTGGACACTGGGGGGAAACATTTCCCCCCCTAAGAACTGTGGGAACACATTTGTATGACCTTACAATTTATTGACCCAGGCAGATGTGCTTCCATGATTTCCCTGAGGTTTGAAGAATCTTAAGGAAGCTGTGGGAATGCATTTGCTCTCTGTTAAACTGAGAGATTGCACAAAAGCTGTTCCATAGCACTTGGGGAAGTATTTTGTAAGTGGCAGAGGGAAATGCAGTTGTAGGCTAAAGGAAGTGATTCTGCAACTTGCAGATTTCTGGAGTCCAGAACTGCATTTCCAGAAGGGTCTATAAGTGTCAGAGTCTCTGCAAGCACAGTTGTGGTCATGGGACTGCATTTGGCAAAGCCCTTAAATTACAAGATTGCACAAGTGTGCTTCTGTGGCAGTTGTTCCATGGTTGTGCATTTTTACAAAAGTTGGGTCCCCCAAGGACAGAGAGGAATTGAACCTAAAATGAAACTGAATTGCAGGGATCTGACACTGTTTTGATCCTGAACAAAACTTTCAGTCTTAAGAGGAGGGGGGGACTCCTATATAGCAAGATGCACTTCTTTCGGCATACTGGAACTCATGAAGTAAACATTGTGGGCTTTTTTAAAAAACACTGTTTTTTCATCTTTGCTTTTAAGAAGACGAAAGACGTACTTGAAAAAGCAGTTTCAGCTGGGCAAACTGTCATAGCAAAACACAGGAACACCCGATACTACAGCTGCAGAGTGATAGGAGTTAAATCTCAAGTTTTCTATGAAGTCATGTTTGATGATGGTTCCTTCAGCCGGGATACCTTCCCTGAAGACATTGTGGTAAGTATTTATTTTTAAAAACTGATTTTAATTTTCGGGGAAATTTAAATAAGTCAAAATTGAACTATTTATTTTGACCTTTCGACAGGGATAATTAACTTAATATTCCATTCATGTTTGTTATTTCTTGCTGCACAGAATTATTGCTTTCTCAGGGGGTTCCCAACCTTGTTTGTTCTAATTAGTATCCACCATTTCACCAAATGAATCAAAACTAATCTTCCGAAGTCTTTTAATTAAATAAGAAATATGTTTTTAATAAAAGATATTAGAGTGGGAATTCTATGTATTGTAATCTGTCTCTGAGAGATAATAAAACAAAATTCCTAGATGAATTGGAAAAAAATTCTGTGTTCAAATATGTAACAGTCAGAATGGCCCTCATGAATCTAATATGACAACTTGTTTCTGATGTGTTCATATGATTCCGTTGTCCAGTGAGAATAAACGAAAGTATTGCAGTATTTCTCAACGTGCATTTTAGTGCATGTCTCTGTTTCACTTAAGCCACCATTTTATGAGGAAAGTGAATTACCAGTTCATGTTTTTATGTGGGACAATATGCTTGGTGCTGTGTATCCCAAGTGAATTACCAGTTCATGTTTTTATGTGTATCCATTTTTAAATTCTGGATATGAATCTGACTTGTTTTGCATGTAATGCAAGTTGCATGCATTCTTATTTGGAAGCTGATCCCTTTGCACTACTCTAATCCTCAGAGTGTTGTGTCTTGGGCCTTCTGTCAAAATTCTTCAGGCTCCATTACATCAGTCAAATGTTGTCAAGATACAGCAGCAGGCATTGCTCTTCCTGTCCTTGGTCCCCAGGGAAACTAAAATAGTTTCAGAGTTCTCTTTCAGATATTTGAAAATATAAAGAGGTTGACAGGGTGGACCCCAAATGAGTACAGTATATATCAGCCCAAAAGCAAGCTTTTGAACTCAGGAGGTGGCACAAAGTATATGATTTGGGGCAATTTCGCATTCAACATTTTTCCAATGTTGCACACTCAGGATGGTGTTAATATCATTTCTTGTTGAACTGTTTTGTTGTCACAGAACCTCTGTAGTTTGTGACATATATGTTTGATGAGTCACTATCTTGAATCTTGCACAAAATACTTTTAATGCTTTTTTGTGTGTCATCTATCAGTTTATGCAAATTATTGGGGTGAATTTGTACTTTCCATACTCTCTCAGATTTTTGTTGTAGTTTCTTTGTTCAGCTTGCCTATTAGTTCCTCCAGAGATGTTAGGAGATTGGCAGAGGTCAAGCTTGCAGTCCAGTCTTTTTGATTAATATCTGCCCAGAATATTGTATGGAATCTTATCTGCTGTATTTAAACAAATATATTTTTGGGAAATAGGAATTTTTGTTAAGGGTTAGTACCCATTTTTGTATAGGAGGCTACATGACCTGTGTCTTATACATAATTACAGCTGCAAGGAATACGAATATTGTGCTGAAGTGGAATCAGAGTCTCAGCTGTGATTCCAGTGCCAAATGCACAACCAAAAGTGCAGGGCTTGTTCACAGGATGGGAATGACAGCAAAGAATGAGACTGATTGACATTGTGAATAAGAATTGTAAAGATAATGAGATGCTGGATGCAGTAAGATGGATGACTGACAAGAAAGTGTGGAAGTCATTCATTTGGTCCTAGTATTCTAATTTGGCAGACAGATAGTACTGCGGAATAAAGAATCATTGGTCATCCATTTTCCTTTGCTAACTGTAGACAGAATTTTCACTAGAAATGCTGCTATCTGAGAACATGTTGTATGTAGGAAAAATTAAACTCTGCACAGGCTAGAGCAAGTTGAAGGGAGGAAGAGTGAGATTTGGCCGAGGTGATGGCGCCCAGCCAGGACCAGCATGTTGCAAGCCTGTTACAGCAGAAAAAGGTGTGTGTGGAGAACAAGATGTGTTCGGAGGCATGAGACTGTGGCTGTACATCTTCTCTCACCTATAGATGTGCCTGCTGATCTCGGTTGTTGTCTTACAGGGTTTTTTCAGGATGCAAAGCTGTCCTTCAAACATTATTAGCCGAGATTATGCTGGGTTCCCTGCTAAGTCCTTCCTTATAAAATGATCTAATGCCTTTCTGGAAGTATAATACTCAAAGTGGGACATTTTAAAGCAGTGTGTAAAGGATTTAGCTTTTCACCTCCCACTGGTGATAAGGGAAGCCACGCAGCTAAATCCTTGCTATGTCCCTTTGAAAAGCTCCTCCTTAGTTTAGGGTATTATGAACAGCATCATTAATGATTGCCTTGATTAAGGAATGGCCAGATATTGCATACATGAAGCTGTGTTCTTACTAGAAATCTGTTTGCACCTGCATCAAAGCTTGAGCTCTGCTTACCACCCATGTGGGGGTAGCTTGATTTGGAGCAAAGAAGAAATGTAATCAGGCCTGGATATGCTTCAGTGCTGCTCAGATTGTAGAGAAGCAACATATAATTGTTTGAAGGAAACACCAAAGAACTTTCAGATTCCTTAGAGAAATCTTGTTGTGTTTTCATTAGATAATATACCTATAGCATCAGTAACCAAGAGGATTCCCCCCCCCCATCTGCCTGCTCCGAAACTGCCTAATCTGTGCAATGTGCCTATCAGGTGTTAGTGCCACTGGGAGGACTTATTCATCAAATTTTGTGTGACGGCAATGTCGCTGCCTGTTGAAGAAGCTATTTCACTTATCTGCTTCCCTTTTTTGGCTAGCTAACAAAGATAGCGAAAGCTTTCGGGTTTTGCATTATGTGGTCAAGCCACTGCACAATTTCAGTTTAGTTCACAATTACATTTATGCAAGACATGCCAATATTTCATGTTTGTGCACACTTTGAAGTGCTTGCAAGGAGGAAGAAAAATCACACTGTCCAAAGCACAGTTCTGGTGCCAGCTGCTCCAGAGTGCAGTGCCCCTAGGACAATCACACAAGCAGACACTGGGGCCAAACACCGGTTCTGATGCCACGAGCTTCTGTTCGTAGGGCTTCCCTGAGGTCTTCGAGGGGACACATTCTGTGGGGGCAGGGGGCACTTCCTTATTCAAATCTCCTTTTAAATACAGTATCTATAAATGTTCTATTCCACTGATATCAATAAGATGTATTATAACTTGTACCACAATACGTATTGGTTCATTGGTACAACAAATCATGTGGCGTTGTCCTAGGACTGATGTCCACCCCAGTGCTTCAGAATCAAAAGTACGTTTCCTTCCAGATTTCCAAGGTCTTTCTTCCGTAGTGTTCTCTGAATCACACTTTTAGTGATGCAAGTGTGCTTTGAACTAGGATCCACACCATTCTATACAGTAGGAAAGAGAGTTCTTGACTTGGCCACAGCGACCAGTGCATTCATTCTCGACAGCATTTGAATTCAGGTTTCATAGCTCGATGTTTAACACTGCCCACTGAAAGTAAATGGAGAAGATACTGGAGATCCAGGGGTCGGTTGGAGCCGGAATTCACAGGAGCGGCGCTCCGGGAGTGAGGAGCCTGGGGGCGGGCACATGACCAAGCCCCGCCCCCTGCTCCCAGCAGATCCCAGCAGGGCTGGCGACCGAGAGGCCATTCTCATCTTTGGGGTGCTGCTGCAGGTGGCTGCCTCTGGCAGCTGGGGTCCCACCTCCCCCTCCCCCTCTCCCATGCCTTCCGCCTGGCTCGGTCCTTCGGTCTGCTGTGCAGCCAGATGGAAGCAGCAGAGAGCCACCGCTGCCACGCTGGAGAGAGCAACCCTGTTTGTGGCCGGGGAGGCGCTTCCTCTGTGAGTCACTCGCGGCATGCAGCCACTTCTTCAGAAGAGGTGCGGCAGCGGCCGGAGACGAAGGCACCCTTCCTCTCCCCCCCACTGCTTCTCTCCTTCCTCCACTTTGTGCTCCTCCATCCACTTCCCTCTCCCTGCTCCTAAGCCTAAGCCCCTTCATGGGTCCATCACCCCCCCGCGCATCGAAGAAAGGTGGGAGGAGGAGCCGCTCTCTCAGCCAACTTCCCTCTCTGCGTCCTCTGCCCTTGCACCTCGTCCCAACCAAGGCTTATTCAGGTAGAATCTCTCTGTGAGGGCAGATCTGCATGTTCCCCAGCCCCCCCATAGCTAGCAACTCAAAGGAGTCCAGTGGCACCTTTAAGACCAAGGCTTATTCAGGTAGAATCTCTTGGAAGGAGGGTGCTGCTCTTGCACACAAATGCCCTGCCGCACTTGTAGCTTCCCGCCTCGCTTGGCTCCTTCCTCAGGAGGAGCGCTCCCTCCCACTGTAACGTCAATGCGACCGCCTCACAGCAGCAAACCAGCATGGGGTCTGCACCCCCAGCGATGCCCTGGGAATTCATTCTCCTATTCAAGCAGTTCTTCCTTCGTCTCCAAGGGAGGGCGTCATTTGGGTTGGTTCCTGAGGGGTGTGGGGAGAGTGGCGCACAATGCAATGAAAGATTTGCTGAGCCGTCCCTCTTATGGAAGTTCAGGGAAGCAATTCTGCAGCTTGAGGTGATTTGGGAGAGAGAAAATGAGAAGCAGAAGCCCAAGCCCGTGATTTTTTCCCTTCTTCACTGCCTTTTCATCAAAGTGCCGAGAACTTTAAAAAGGGAGGAGGGGGTACTTTCTAGGAAACAGATCTGCTTTTAAAAGTCTCTCTTGTCTGCTGAAGAAATCCCTTGGCTTTGGATTACAATAGAGAGTTTTAGCCCCACTTGAGTAGTTCCTTTGCCTCCGGTGGATTGGTAGGAATTTCAGAAGCGGAGCCAGTGTAGAATCCCCTCCCTCCCCCCCCCCCCCCGTTGCTAATCTGCATGGAGCTTCAAGTGTCCCATTCAAGCCCTTTTCTTTCGGCTGTTTTTGAGTCTCTCTTCACATTCCCTTAGGTGCTGGGAAAATCTCAACTTTCGGTAGAATCTCTCCCTCCTCTGTGAGGGCAGATCTGTGTGTTTCCCAGCCCCCCCTATAGCTAGCAACCCAAAGGAGTCCAGTGGCACCTTTAAGACCAAGGCTTATTCAGG